TTTGTGAGTTTAACAATGGTGTTGTGGACTTGAATGCCTTGAGTAGTTTGAATCTGCGGCCACCTCGTTGTTACATAACTGATTTCCCAGTAATAGTACCAAACGGCTAGGAGGCTCTGTACCGTGTTCTGGAAACTTTGGCTTTCTAATGTCGCCTCCGACTGTTTCGTAATCGGACGTCTAAGGTGTTGCTAAACCTTGTCTGTAAAGCAAGTCTTCTCTTTGGTGGTTTTATCCTTTAGAAATCAAACTTGGTTATTTTGCACCCGATATCAGTTTGTGTCTGTGGTGCTATCAGCTTTGCCCATGAAGCAAGTCTTGCTTACCGACCTTCTCGATTTCTTCGAAACACTTTGTTCGGCTTATCATAGGAAATCATAGTTGTATTTGTGCCTTTGTCAATGCCGTGTATGCCCCACATCATTTTTTTTGCACTTCCGGAAAATGGTGACCAATTTTGTGGCCCTTTCTTTGTTGGATTTCTAAGCAAATAAACCAGCAAAGTTTTCTCTTTGGAACTTCCGTTTCCATGAACCCTCAGATCTTGCTTAGCTTCAACAAACTTATTGTGCATGTTGCTTCCTGGGTATGTCCTTTTCGATGTACCAGGATAGAATTCGCTTTGTATAATTAGAAAGCTTAACAGATTTGAAATCATTTCTCAGTTGTTTTAACAAAGACTGACTCAAAATAATAATGCAAATGGACACAATGACGCGATGTAAAAGTGAGAAGGAATAGTATTTAACTGAAAATGCTACTTTAGGGGAAAAGAGAGAAAGAAAGGGATCTTTTGAATGTGGTAGCCAACTTTAATGATCATGACATGCATTTTGGACTGAGTAGCCAAATCTATCCGACCAATCTGCCCTTTCTTCTTGTTCCTTTTTCGTCATTGAAGTTGGCCTCTTTGCATCAAATCACAACTCACCTTCGACCAACAATGCCCCGAAAGGTTTTCACCAAACAGTCTCTACCATTTATTTATCTCTACTTACCATCGCCTTACAGTGCCCATGAGGGTTTTCACCAATAAGACTCTCTCATTTTCATTCATATATATATTTTTTCCGCCTTTTTGTGCGAGCAACTTGACATTGTTCTATGTTGTGTGATAACTGTTGCTTATTGTGTGCATCCGTTGGCATTCTAAAAGACTAATTGGAAGGTCTTTATGTGGAAGGCATTTGGAGAGGGTCAGAAAGAAAGGGTCACATTAAGGCTCAAAACAGACTCAAGATGATAGGGTTGTATATTTACAACTCTTGGAATCGACTCTTCAGAAAAACATAAAAAAAATTCTGTCCCAATTTCAGATACTGAGGAATTTTTATTTTTTAATTTGGTTAGACCGAACCCTGGTGTAGAGTTGCCTACGTATCCGCTAAAGGAATCAAGTCAAACGTAGTTCAAACTAACACGGAAGATTCCTTTGTTGTTTTTCTTTTCATTTTTCTTTCTTTCTTTTCTCTTTTCTTTTTCTTCTCTTCTTTTTTTTTTTTAACAAATTTCCCCAACTCCTATTTTCTAGTGGCATGGATCTTCAATTTTTTTTGACTCTATACTTGATTCCAAAAGAGGGGGGGTCAAAGAAAAATAAAACAGGCTCAAAAGGGGTAACGAAGGGTATAAAGTATTTGGGTAGCAGAAAAAAGGGCCTCCTAACCTCAAGAATGCCAAACATTCTATCTCTTCTCAGGGTCGGTATTGATGGACATGACTGTCTTCTTGGTTTTGCCTTGATGTGAAATAACCCACTTCAGTACCAACTAATCCATTTTAAATTCCCTGGAATGCACCTTATTTGGAGATTCGAGTCATCTTCCTAATATGGTTAGATTATGGCAGGCCGTGGCCAAAACCCTTTCACTGATTAGTCCAACCAAACTTTAACACTTTAATTATCTTTAAGCTAGTATTCATGATAGGTTTGGGATAAACATCTTTAACCTCTACGAATATGACTATTTCGGTTCCATGTGATCTTGACACGGGATTATCATCAAAGTTTTTCAACCTCTTACTTGTCCTCCACATGTTTTACCTCAATTCAATTCAAAATTGGATAAGATTTCTAAAATCTACCCGAAAACTCCGCATGCATGTCGTGTCACTAAAATTGGCATGAAAAGATATATATATATATATATGCAAGAAGAACTAAACACAATGGATTAAAATGACACAAAGAAGAGAAAAAAAATTGCATTTCATTGATTAAAGGATAGAGAGGTTTGATGACAGGACAAACAAACAACATCTGGATCACAACCTCGAAATAACCCGGATGATAGAAATTATGACAAAATATGTTACCCAGACTCCTTCCCGGCAAGGAAGGGAGTGACTTTCCAATTATCAAGCTCAACATCTTAGCTACGAATTTGCACACCAGCATCAAATAGGACCTTCAACAATTTTGATTGCCTTCCATCCAGTGGACATGTTCTTGACATTTTTCACCAAACTGTCCCCTATTCTTTGTCATTGTAAATCATCCGAACATTGTATGCTTTGTCATGACGTTTAGGGTGCCATTATCTTGGACCACGAGCATCCCTTCTTGAATCATCATTTCTATTTCCTTTTTAAAAGCCCGACAATCCTTAGTGCTATGCCCCTAGACATTAGAACGGTACACGCACTGTAAAGCAGGGTTAAAACCATTTGCATATGGATCAGGAACATACCCTTGAAGCGGCTCAATCATGCCACAACGTTTCAACATTTCAAACAAACTTGTGTAGTATTCTACGATTGGCGTGAAATTGTCCCTCTGTTTATGTTCCCTTTCATACTCTTGTTTTGGACGAGCGTTATAGAGTGACTGAGAGTTATGATGTCGCGGATGAAGGTATGTTAAAGTTGGGGCACGCATATGTTGGCAATTGGATGGTTTGGCATAAGACTGAGTTGCATACTGTGGAGCAACTGAGTATCGTGGATCCGGGTGTTGAGATGCTCCTTTTTGGCCTCTTTTTGCCCGTGATGCCATCATGGCCTCCTCATCTTTCTTCTTTTTGTTAACAGGGCTATTCAGCCTATTCTGGATTTCTTTAGTGGCTGCTTTGAGAGCCGCTTGACTTATAATTCGTCCAGTATTGAGGCCATTCTCGACCATTTCTCCTACTTGATTGCATCAGCAAAAGGTCTGCCCATTGCAGCCATCATATTTTGAAAATAATCAGGATCCTGAGCCTAAAGGAAGACACTGATTAACTCATGGTCATCTATGGGTGGTTTAACTCTAGATGCTTGCTCTCTCCACCTAATGGCATACTCCACAAAGCTTTCAGTCAGCTTTTTCTTCATATTGGACAGGGAATTGCGATCTGCCGCAATATCAATGTTGTACTGAAATTGTTTGACGAAGTTCTGGGCTATGTCGTCCCAAACATGCCAGTGAGAGATATCTTGGTCAATGAACCATTCAGAGGCTACCCCTACTAGACTCTCCCTAAAATAAGCCATCAGCAACTCTTCTTTTCCTCCTGCACCCCTCAGCTGGTTGCAGTACCTTTTCAAGTGGGCAATAGGGTCGCTGTGTCCATCATATTTCTGAAATTTTGGTGTCTTGAACCTTGGGGGTAAATGGATGTGAGGAAACATGCACATATCACTGAATGAGACACTTTTGTGACCACCTAGTCCTTGTATGTTCTTTATGTTCTGCTCAAGACTTTTCATTTTCCTGACCATCTCATCTGGATCTTCTTTCTTTACAGCCTTTTCCTTTTCTGCAGGTAACTCATACTATTGGGTTTGATTGTGTGGAGCCGAACCCTTAAAAGCCATATCTGGAGAGTAGTATCGGCCATCATAAGCATGAGATAGTGGCTCGATGTTTGGCCTCATCATTAGGATTTGATGGGGGGATTGTATGCGCTGGTACACCAGACATGACGAGAGGTATGTTCCTGACCGGTGCGGCAGGAGGCTGCACATTAGAGATACCAGGGCCGGTATGGAAGCTAAGTTTGGCACATACCCTGGTGGTAGAATATGATCGCTCGTTACAGGGAGCAGTGGTTGAGTAGCCTGGGGTATGGTGGAAGTTCCCTCAGAGGGACCCTGAGGAGGTTGACCAGAGACCCAAGCCTGATACACATCACTCAGTTGATGTTTCAATCTTCTTACTTCCTCCGACTCTTGCTCAACCGATTGACCCAGAGGGTCGTCACCGACCAACTCTATTTCGTCATTGTTAGCCATCACTACCTTCCCTTTAGATCCGGTAAAGTAATGATGTGTTGCCAGTTTCACGACAAACCAACAACCTTAAGCTTACTATATAAGAGGCAACAAACGTGTTAGGGTTAAGCATTTTATAAATACGAATCACACGTAAATATGCTATGCTCCTAACATTATCACCGTCTCTAACATGCTTTTGGAAGGCTTCATGTTTCATTCCGGCTTATAGGGTTGCTGCTTATTGACGCTCTTATTTATTCCTCCCTTTTATTTTATTTTTTACACCTTGCCTTGTTTTAGAGGCGTTGAAAAATATTTCGACCGAACCTTTTGGGGGTTGCCTACGTATCATGTCACCGCATGAATCAGATCATTACGTAGTTCAAAGACATGACCTTTTTTTTTTATTTTTTTATTTTTAAATTAACAAAATAAAGTTTTCCTCTTTTATTTTATGTACAAAAAACAACATTTTTTTTGTTCATTTTCGAATTTTTCTAAAACAAAATCTTTTTCATTGATTTTTTATTTATTTCTTTCTTTTTGATACAAGACAAATGAAAATTACATAAAGATACAACCCAAAAGACGAATATTTAAACAAGACCGGACTCGACTCAAACAAGACGAATGTTTAAGCAAGACTCAAAACACTAAAAGACTCTTACAAACTTGATGACTACAAATGAATAATCAAAGTGGACTGCCAACTAAAAGAAGTCCTGCGGCTAACCTCCCATATCATGGTATATGCGCCTTAAGTTTGTGGCAATGTGGCGTGCGAAGTTGGGCGCTACCGTAGCAAATTACTCTCGGGTCAAACCCTGACAAGTCACACACCTTCGAGCGGTATAAGTAGCCACCTGATAGACCCTCCTTCTAACATGCTCCTGGCTCTGACTTAAAAACTGGATCTGTCGCTCATGGTTGTTGGCTATGTCTGATATATCTGCCTCGCGTTGTGATGCCAGATTCAGCTGGTTCTGGACCCTTGCTAGCTCATTCTCTAGCTGGTTCTTACTTGATTCTGCAGCCCTGGCCCGAGCCCTTAGATCATGGATGATAAGGTTGTAATGCATTTCTTCGTGCTTTGGAATGGCTGCTTGTTGCTGAGTAGCAGCTTCTATTCTCGCTTGTCGAAGTTGTGCTTGAAGCGCTTGAACCTCATGTATTAATCTGGTTTTCTCCTCTTTAAACTCAGTATACTGCAAATCCCTATTCACGTTGACGATACTTATATCCCTACGTAGTTTGCGGATGATGGATTCATGGTCTCTTGCTATTTCCTCCTTGCCCCACTCTTGTTCTAATTTCAGTCTCCCATTCAGTCGTGCTCTTCAGAATTGTCTCTTGCCTAGATCCAAAAGCATCTTGGTCATAGAACCACTCAAAATATGCGGGGTCTAACTCTCCTTGATCTTGATCTTCTATCATAGTGTGAAATTCAAGCACCTTAATTTCATCCAAAACTTGCTTAGAATAAGCCTCACGAACAGGATCCTCCGATGTCACCTCCCACATGAATCTTTGCATGTGCTCCATTGTGGGCACGACTTGTTTTCGACCTAATTGGCGTAGGTCTCTCATAGGAACATACGGCTGAAAACCCCGAAGACCTATCAAAATCAAAAACGAATGGTGGTAAGACCTGTATATGACCTTTTTTGTTGAGAATGAGTGGTATTTCCATGTGATTCCAGTAGCAGTCAACTTTTGAAGATACCCTCTCCATGCTTCGACGCCCTTGGGGAAGCTACTATCTTCGGTCAAAACTTTAGAGCTATCTTCAAGGTCATTGTTGCACCAATGGACGCTAAAGTTGACCCGTACGGGGTGAAGGAGAAGGTGCTCTAAAAACCATATCTGGAGTATGATGTTACATCCCTCAAAGAAATCTTTCCCTTCCTGACATTTTGTTAGGGCACAGTAAATATCTGACAATACCATAGGAATGATAGTGACATCCTTTCCATGCAATAAAGAGGTAACCATGCCAGATAATCGAATATCAATATTTTTGTCATGACTTGGGAAAACCATCGTCCCTAGAAATGCCACTAGGAATGCTCTCCGCCTATGGCTTTGCCAAGCTTTGTATCCAATTTTATTATCAAGCTCTTTCCCGTGCTTTGAAAATCCACCCGGACACCCATACCTGTCGTACAAGAAATCCAATCGAACGTGCCCTCATTCCAAACTTGCTATTTTATTTTCACTGATTGTCATCTGCTCAAGGAACTTACTGCCAGTGACATCCCTCGGGGCCAAGGGTCTCTTCTTCCGAAGCTCATCTCCTAACTTTGTGTATCCAGCTAACTCCTCCAAAGTGGGAGTCATTTCGAAACCATTAAAACGGAACACATTGTTATTAGGATCCCAGAAATGCACCAACGCCTCGATTAAGTCCCTCCTTGGGTTGATCTCCATAATATTCACAAAGTTACCCAGATGGTCCTTTATCTTTTCCTGCTCACAAACGCCCATATTTTTCCACCATTGCCTCAACAACTGGGGTGTTTTATGCACAAGCCAAATCTGCAAGGGCTCATTTTTTTTTTGGATTCTTATCGGGTCTTCCACTTACTGAATTCATATCTCACCTGGATAAATAAAAATGTGAGGTCAAGTCCTAATCTAAATTCAAAGAAATGACAAGCAGACTATTGGATAAGACAACAGCCAAACTTTTCATGGGAGGAAGGCCAGACTCTAGAAGGATTACTCAGGTATCTCACCGTGGAAAAAAAAATGACCGGACAAGGGACAAAATAATAAAAAGTGACGAAGAGGACAAGATGGTTATTTTTATGAAAATGGCTCTTCAGTACCTTCAAGAAAAGTACTAAGACAGTCCCGGTAAAAACAATCGAACACATGGATAAGCGAGTTAAAAATAAATAAAGATTTATTTTTTACGAAAACACCCATTTAAAAAATAACTGTAAGGTTGACTTAGCAGAAATGGCCGATAACAAAGGATGGCATGACAACAATAAAATGACTATTTTTACGAAAATATCCCTTCGACACTTCCGAGGGAGGTTGAAAGGCTGTCCCGGCAAAAGACAAAAATAAAGACGAAATGGTAAAAGATGTTAAAAAGGAGCAAAGTAATCATTTTGTACGGAAATAGCCCTTCGACACTACCGAGAAAGGTTTTAAGGCTATTTCTATAAAAATAGTTCAACATTGGGAAAAATGGTAAAATATTAGCTAAATTTATGAAAACAGCCATTCGACGGTTCCGAAGAAGGTTTTGAGATTGTATTGAAAAATATGATCGGACTCAAAGACAAAAACAATGAAAAAGACAAAAATCAGCAAAACTATCGATTTATTATTATTATTATTAAAAATTAAAAAATATTATGTACACACCGATTTCGAAAACTTTTGCAAAAATGGGGGCCGAACCCGATGAAGGTTGCCTATGTACCCCACTGGAATTATGAGAATCAGACTTGCGTAGTTCGAACCAAGACTAGACCATTTTTTTTATATTTAGTAAAAACGAATTATCTGCACAAAACTGGGGGAATGATTTTTTTTTTATTTCGCTCAACTAATTTTCTAAAGCTGGGCAACAAATGCAAGCAAGCCTTCCAAATGATGCAACAAGTAGCACATAAGTGAACATGATGGTCTCAAAAAGGATACCTGTCTTGTACGGACCCGGCCCCTGTGCCGAGCTTCGCTATGTCAAATGCACATGATGCAATAAAACGATCCTACTAGGGATAACCAGACATATGGTTTGTTCTTCTAGGTTTTCTAAAAATCCTAGGGGATGAGGTGTATCTAGACTAGCCATAAAACGAGCGAACAACTCGAGTTGGAAAGGGGTAGCGTACTGGGAGCAATACTTCTCCGGCTTAACTACTGGACCCTCCCCGTTCTTAAATATGGGTGACTAATAATCCTTCACCGGGAGCTCAGGCCCACCGACTTTATCTCAACAAAGAATGGAGCGCTTATGTGCGATTCCCGAGGTTGTATTCAGAAGACTCAGAGGGGGTGCGCAAGAAGACAATTTATAATACAGTTCAACAATATCAAAGCGCTAAAAAAAGAGGCAAGTAGCACATTAGACCCAAATAGATCACAGTTATATACAAAAAATTAACGAGGCCAAATAAAGTCAATGTATAAGCTCGAATTCTTGAATATCCCTAGCGGAGTCGCCAGAGCTGTCACACCCCTTTTCTACCCCAAAAAGAATATTATGTAGTTATGATTGTGGGTTAAAGAGTTTTTCCAATTGAAGTGAAAAATTTGAGTAGGAATTATTTTATTTAAAGAGTCGCCACTTGAAATTGATTTTCGGTGTTCTAAGTCACCATTTATTTGAATCCCTAGTCAAAGGAAGGTTTGACTCTATTTTTTATCGGTCCGTTAAAACAAAGTTTGGGTAAGGAATTATGTTGATCGGGAAGAAGGTGCAAGACATTCCCCGAGTCCCGTGGTTGTAGCACGGTCACTTTATTGACTTAAAACTTGGCTTAAATTAATTTTGGACAAACTGTGTTTTATTGATTTTCATGCTTGCCTATATCCACTTTTATTTATTAAAATTGTTAAAGAATAATTTGAATAATATTAAAATTTTCCTAATCGCACTACGCAAGAGAATCCGATGACAAATGATTATTAGCGCGCTATTACTTTCAGAAAAAATTACTAATATTACTTTATTTGTGCTTTGAGAAAAATTAATTTTTTTGAAAATTATTAAAAAGTTATTATCGCGCTATGCAAGCGAATCCGCGATCATGAGGATTAAATAAATTAAAAATTAACTAAAATTAATGAATATGATATTAGATTATTTNAATTATTCTTAGGTTACCAAATTGATGATTTTTCTTTTACACAAATACTCGCGGTTGATCCCACATTACCACATTCGACATGAGTTCGATAACACCATTTCAATTGAGATTATTTCCTTTATCCATCTTTGTAATCTTTAAAACCAGATTTCTTACACTCCAATCATTTCCAGAAAGTTCCGTTTTCACATCAACACACGATATTAGTCTCGACTGGTTATAGCAACTCGTGCCTACGCACGCATCAACTTTTTAATAGCGCTTAACGGTTGTTACATCCTCCCCCACTTAGGGTCATTCATCCTCAAATAAGAAGTAGAGTCCGCTCTCAAACAATAATGTAACTTATCTTTTTCTTCGCACATCTTAATGTCCCAAATTTTTCTAACTCCCAAATTTTTCGAAAATTTCGGCAGATCTCCCCTGTAATTGGGCCTATCCACCTGCTAGAGTAACACCAAAACCACTCCTAACAACACATCCACAACTCAACAAATCACCACAATGTATTTATCAATAACACCAATCTCCGCATTACAAGTGTGACACTATCATAAAGATATTTCGACATGGAACACATCATATGTATGACCTTAACCACATCTCTGGTTTTAATAGTTGTACATAATCGATTACAAAATTGCCAATTAACTTCATGTTAACAAATTCTTGTTTCAAGCTTTCACTTTACTAACAACGTAGCGTGAAGACGTCATAATTATTTACCCAAATTAATGATTCACAATTAACGCCACCTGGGCACTCACCTTGTAGGCTAAAACTCAATAATTACAATACAATTTGGCAAATTATGCACAGAGATATTCATACAAGAATTTTCAAATAAGCCTCATAGGCATGTATCCTTATAAGTACTATATTACAAATTTTAATTTCATAAAGGGAGAATTTAAACACATAAACTTTTCACCACAAGGACCTCGTCCTTATATAACATCCACCGCAGCTTGTAGCTCGGTTTAAATATTTCACATCATGTAAAAGTACGAGGATCTCATCCTCAACTCCGTACACAAGTAATATGCACATTGTGCCAATTGAAATTTTCCATTTCCTTTCTTTCTTCTTCTAAATAAGTTCCGTTAAACAAAATCACAACATATAAGGAACCCTCACACCGATAGGGAATAAAATTCGCAATTTAAATCAATTTTCCTGAAATCACATCAAAACCCACATCACAACTATTTTTAGTGACTAACATATAATGATAGACATGACTATCTCCATATAATCTCCCAACAGGATTATTCACATAAGTAAATTTAAGATTACGAAGCTCACTCATGAGTAGAGCATATTAAGAGGACTTGCCTCGATACTCATAACCGAATCAAGTTAAGGAAATTGTTCCTTTATGATAACTCGAGTTTGTACTTGTAACGACTTCATCTAGTGTAGCGACCTCAGCTATACCATAGAAAATACATCAATGGGTCGGGCCTCCACCTCTTAGGCACCATCTACCTGCTTTTCCTCCACCTCTAATTGGTAGTGTAAGTAGAGTAGTAACTGTAATGGAGTACGTGGCACGTGTGCTCTGATGGAACAGATTTCTCCCAAGTCTATGACAATTTCTTAGGATGTTCCTAGTATCACCATTTTCATAACAACCCATCCGCAGTTCAACTGCTCATACTGAGTCTGTACCGGATAACTTAAATAACCCTTGCAGGAAATTCCATGCCACTGGTACATTAAAAGATGATTGCCCCACGCGAGTATTGTGATTAACTTAAGCACTATGAGTATACTGAATATGTAGAATTATTAAGGACGCGGGAATATCTCAAGTCTCATGATCATCTCGTTCAAATCTCAGCTCTTGATCATATACAAGTTTTGGAAAACCTTTCAATACCACATAAATACATCTCAGGCCAAAATTGGTATAACACATGACCCCGCAATCTGATCGCTGATAGTGGACTCCCCTCACTTGTTGCAAAATCATAAGACACATTCCCAACGATCCACAATACTAACCTTCACCGCTCGTACGATACCAGTCATAAGACACCTCAAGCCATTTACTTGGCGATTGTCGTCCTCGTGATAGTTAAACTCACTTCCTCCCGTGTCTTGGCTGCTAGTATGTACTCTTCGCTAATTAGAAATCCCATACGAACCACATAGTCTCTAATACCACTAACTATCTTTAGATCTACATCCACTTGTGATGATTACGTAACCAATTAAACCTTCTTAAGATTTTACTCATCAACCAGATGTCAAAATCTGATGCACTCCCATGCGCACAACTGAAAGATTCTCTCTACACTTCCATAACCTAGATTCTGAACGACACATGGTAACAATGGTTGAGCAACCCTGGCTCTCTTATAACCCTTTTACGGTATCACAAACCATTGGGGTAGTGCGCAATTCCATACATGAGTGGATGCAAAAGAACATAAGACATATGCTTCAAGCTGAATAAATGTCGCACGATAAGGAATGAATGAAGTGAATTTTTTTTTCCTACTAGTTATGTAGCCTCTCGAAGATAAGTACAGACGTCTCCGTACCGATCCGCAAGACTCTACTAAACTTGTCTGTGAATTGCGAGGCCTATGTAACCTAGGGCTCTGATACCAACTTGTCACGACCCGGATTTTTCTGCCCTCGAGAGTC